CTCGAACCCGCGGGCTCAGGCAATCCACTCACCTCAGCCTCCCAAAGGCGCAGGATTACAGGCTGAGCCACCGAGCCCGGCTATATTTTTTTAAAGATCATTATTTTCTGTCTCTTAGTCTACTTTTTGGGAGGTTTCCTTTTTCTGTTCTTACAACTCTTCTACTTTTTATGCTAACAAAATTTCTTCCCCCAAAGCTCTTTTAAATATCATGGAATAGATACACTTTTTTTCCTCTAAGAACAGTGATCTTTCTGCATTTTCTTTCTTTTTTTTAGACAGGGTCTTGCTCTGTCGCCTAGCTGGAGTGTAGTGGTGTGATCGTGGCACACTGTAGCCTTGAACTCCTGGGCTCAAGTGATCCTCCAGTCCCAGTCTCTGAGCAGCTAGGACTACAGGAGTGTACGAGGTTAGTGCTTTAACTTTTTCTGTAGAGATGCAAGCTCTGTATGTTGCCCAGGCTGGTCTTGAACTCCTGGCCTTGAGCAATCCTCCTGTCTCAGCCTTCGACACTGCTGGGATTACAGGCATGAGCCACCATGTCTGGTTGGCAATCTTGGTGATAATTATTTTTATTTGCTTGTGCTCAGTGAATTAGTTCAGAAAACTGTTTTCTGATTTGTTTTGTTTTTGTCTCTCTCTTTCAAGGTAGGACAACTGTAAAGGATCAAAACAAGACTTTTTAAAAGTGAATAGGACACTATTGATAATTACGCCAGGGCAGGACGGGCGCAATGGCTTATGAATGTTATCCTAGCACTTTGGGAGGCTGAGGTAGGAGGATTACTTGAGCCCAGAAGTTCAAGACCAGCTAGGCAACACAGCAAGACCTCATCTCTACAACAATAAAAAAATTAGCCAGGTGTGGTGACATGAGCCTGTATTCCCAGCTACTTGGAAGGCTGAGGTAGAAGGATCACCGAAACCCAGGAGGTCAAGCTGCACTCCCCCCTGGGCAACAGTGTGAGACCCTGACTCAAATAATCATAATTCCAGGGCAGTATACATAAACTGAGCAAACTAGCCAACCTACTACTAGGAGAATAACTTCTTAGATGCTAAGCTTGTAAACGTACAGGGTGTTATCAATCACATGAAGTCCTTCCTTTAAAAAGATACACTCTACTGTATTAGAACTTAATACAAAAAGTCACTAGAGTGAAACCTGAAGATGGAAAGGATGAGCAAATACAGACTAAATAGCTTTTAAGACTCTGAATTTTACCTGAGCATGGTAGCTCACGCCTGTAACCCCAGCAATTCAGGAGGTGGAGGTGAGAGGATTATCAGAGCTCAGGGGTTCGAGACCAGCCTGAGCAACATGGTAAGACCTCATCTCTACAATAAATAAAAAATTCAGTCGGGTAAGGTGGCATATGCCTGTGGTTCCAGTTACTTGGAAGGCTGAGGTAAAAGGATCATCTGACCTAGCAGGTTGAGTCTGTGGTGGCTGTGAACATGCCACTGCACTCCAGTTTCGGTGACAGAGTGAGACTCCAACACACACAAAAAAGACACTGGATCTTGAAAGCCTACCCTCCACCCTCAACAAGCACACAAAGAAACAGTTCTTTTAGAAATGCACATATCGCCTTTCTGTTTGGAGGAAATAATAAGAGTACACATATATTTTTTGTTTTGAGTTGGAGTCTCACTCTGTTGCCCAGACTAGAGTGCGGTGGCCCGCTCCCAGCCACCACAGCCTCGACCTGCTGGGCTCCGGTGATCCTTCCGCCTCAGCCTTCTAAGTAGTTGAAACTACAGGCGCGCGCTACCATGCCCAGCTAACTTTTTTTTGATTTATTGTAGATATGAGGTCTTGCCAAGTTGCCCAGGCGGGTCTCAAACCCATGGGCTCAGGCAATTCACTCACCTCAGCATCCCAAAGCGTGGGATTACAGGCTGAGCCACCAAGCCAGGCTGAGTTCACATATTTTTAAACAGACAAAGCTGCTTAAAAATATGAATAAGCTGGTAGAATTGTCTTCTTCTTATTCAGAATTAAAGAAATGAGTAAAGGGTGAAAAGGGGTTAGAAAGAAAATGAACTATAGTGTTCTACCTAAGTAGTGAAGACATGAGAGAGGAAATCAGAAAATGCCTTACCCATCCCAGAGTCTTTCTTGGTGCCATCTGATATTATGTCTACATGATCAGAGTCCACATCATAACTAAAGAAATCGTTCAAATAGGTCTTTGATCGCTGGCCACCAAATACATATAAGCAACGATTTTTCTGAAAAGAAGAAAAAAAATGACACAGAAGGGAGAAAGTTGTCACTTCCATAAAGAATTAAGAATGACTGTTTAATGAGTTAAACCTCTACAAAAGTTACTCTGACAGATTCTAAGCAATGGTGTACAATGCTGGAATAAGGGGGAAGTTCACATATACTAAGAAGTGATCTCTGGCACTCTGTCTAGAGATCTTTTTATCTGGACTCTAGGATAGTCTATGAAAGGAAAAAGGACAGATGAAGCATGACGTAGATAGGCTGCTGCTTATTCCTTTTCTCAAAAAAAAAAAAAAGAAAGAAAAAAGAGGCATAAACCAAAACCTAATAAGAGACTGTCACCTACTAAAAAAGGTACATCGCAGAAAGACAGGGATCAAAACCAGACCTCTCCAAAAGCACCTTGACTTTTTAATTTAATTTAATTTAATTTAAATTTATTTAAATTTTATTTAAATTTAATTTTAAAAAACAAAATTAACTTAAAAGAAAAAAAAACTCTGCACATTTGAAAAAAATACTAGTAAACCTCTCTACAGTTAAGCATATGTCCACACAGAGAAGGGGATAATAGGAGATAAAGACACTGTCCTTCTGATTCCTAAGAAAAGTCAGTGCATGGACAGACATGAGGAAGGGGCGTAGCTATAATACCTAGATATACAGTGAAGTCAGTCAAAAGACTGCCTGTGCTGGTAATCAGGTAACAGCTACTTAGGAATTGTTGGGTCGATAGGAAGAGTCCCATAATTAGCAAACAGTTCACTGTTAAAAAGGTTTTGTTTTTCTCTGCCATGGCTACACTAAGGACAAGTTTTGATCTCCTCTGAAACATCCACTTCCACCATTTCTTTCCTAGAGACACATGTGACAAGTAACCTCCATGCGATGCACAAAATATCCTTACTGAGTGGAAGAGCATGCAGTGTCCTATCCGGGACTGGATGTCCTCGGGCCCAGCGTTGCAGGAGTCCTCCCGGAGGAGTTTCCAGGTTTGACACTGACAGCTGAAAGCAAACAACCCACTGAACTGCGGCTCACTGGCTCTGCTGTCCTCCACGCTGCCGTTACAAGTCAGAATCCTACCGCCAAAGGTGTAGATCATATGCTTGTCTGAGTCCATGCACATCTAGCAGAACAGGGCGACAGACGAACAGCGTCAGTGTATTCCTGCCACATGTGCTAAAATGAACCCACCATGTGTAGCTTCCCATTCTCAAGAGACCTGCACTTTGGCCCCAAGGACAGCAAGTACTGCCTATTAAGTGCACAGATTGCAAGCCTGGATTTAGAAATACCTTTTCAGGTTTTCATTTTCCCAATTAGAGTAAAACAAATTGACTTAAAAAGCTTTCTTGAAACTGCATACATTTTAACCAAAATCAATCAATGACACATGAGTTATTGATTTATACTTAGAAGTGAATACCAATCACACTCTTTGTCATTCTCCTTATGAAAATTCCCTTCTTTCTACTCTAGGCAAGCATTCTATTAATACTGCTAGCATCCAATAAGAGAGCATATATGTGAATAATAGTAATGCAGCTCGATTCATTTTTCTGTATTTTTTATAAAGTGCATCAAATTATGATGTTACAAAATAGTAAAAAAAATTAAAAAATTGCAACAATCAGTCTCCAGACTGACTTCTATGGTGTAAAGAATTTCACCTTTTAACTATAAATGTAAATTTAAATACAAATTTAATTTTTTTAAATTAAGTTGTATAGTTCATGTTAAAAAGTCAAGCTTTGATTCTTCCATTCTTTCAACTCAAGATTACAGCTTTTCATAAAAACATGTGAGAAAACAACCATTTGTCATAAGATAATAAGACTCAAGTTCTGTTTCAAAGAACATATAAACCCACGTTGGGAATTAGGTGTTGAATACAAGCGGTGTTTATATTTGCAGAATAAATTCTGAATACAAACCATTTATTTTTTTGCCATTAGGTGTTCAATTCTCTCCTCCCATTAAATTACTTCTGATATTTATCTATTTTTGCATTTTCAAATAAAAAGCTGTTTTAATAATTTTAAAGGTTGTTTTAAAAATTACTGCTTGTATTACTGAAAAGATTCGAGCCTCTCCTAATTTTTACCTATTACTAAAAATATCCAGCACATTTGCCATTTCCCAGGTTTCTCAGAGGCTTCCATAAATTAAGATGAAAATCTGTTCTCTGAGGGTGAAATCTTGGTAAATATGGTTGAAAAACTAAGCTGTCAAAGTTGCGTGTCTCTGGGTTACCAGAGGAAGAGCTCCCACATGTCAGTCCTAAATGATCACATCATTAAAATCAATGCATCCATTGCTACCAACAGGCTGTTCAGCTCCTATCTTTGTCCAGGTCCCATTACCCTGTGAAGAACTCCAGGCGTCATCATTCCACATACTTGGGATCATGCTGAAAATCCTGAAGGCCTCACACTGGATCCATTCCCACTTATATTAATTCACAGATTCATACTATTAGCCAACCTCCATTACCAAATCCTCACGTTTCTACTTCATATGGCCACAAAGGGAGTTTCTCTTTCCTTTTTGGGGATTTTCAAGCTTAATTTTGACGTGGCTTATTCTCACTGTTGGCAGGGCTGAAATATTCACAAGCTTATCTTGTTAGCTCTTCCCAGCACACCAGTTCAAACTGATTCAGGAAGCCTCTTAATTTTTGATTTCCACTTGTTTGCTTTTCTGTTTTGTGATTTTTAATCTCTGAAAAATGTTTCTGGAAAGCAAATTACTTATTAAACTGTGTGATAATGTCTTTTCTATCAAAGAAATTTTTAAAAAATCTTTAAAGTCAAAAGTTGGAGACTATTCATCTACTCTTTCAGGTTATTTACTTTTTAAAATCAAATAAATAGTGGATAACAACTTATTTTCCTGCAAAACAATTTTTCTTGAATCTGAAAATGACTTGACTTTACCCTATCACTCACAAGATTAGCAAGGGTTAGGCTAGGTTCAAAATAATTTTCTCCTCACAAAATTTGAAGATATTGTAATAAAGCAGAGTCTCCAGTGTTGGTCAACCTACACCTTCCCTTTACCAACCTCCAAAAATTGCTTCATGTCCCAGCAAGAATGCCAAGCTGACATCTTCAATTCTTCAACTGAAGATTTTCCTGATACTTCTTGGCTAACTCGCCTTCCACTTTCCGATAATTTCCTCAAAAAGTGTTTACACTTGAAGGACAGTTTGGCTAAAGGTAACATCTAAGACTTTTTTTGAGTCTTCTGGATGTTGCTCTATTTCTTGGCACTGAAAGGAGATGTAGAGAAGTCTGATACTATTCTCAGTTTTTATAGGTGACTTGATCATTTTGCCTAACTGCTCAAAATAATCTCCTTATCTTTTATATTCAATGTCTTGAGTTGAATATCTGGGTCAATTCTCACAAAATATAGTGTGTTCATTTGATACGGGGAGTAAACCTTTCTTTAGGAAAGTTTTCTTGAGTTTCATCTATAAGTATTTGTTATGTTCCACTGTTTCGGTTTTCTTCTTTAATGCCTCCAATTATGAGTATGTTGGCTTTCCTTTGCCTATCTTCTCTATAATTTTCTGGTTAATACCTATTCTTCTTTATGCTCCTTGTAGATTAGTCTTCATTTCTGAGAATGGCAATATACTAAGATAGACCTTTCATTTGCTTTTGCATGAAGGAAAGTTTTGCTCTATTTTTCTTTTTACTGTTTTTCTTTAGAGTACCTTTCTAAAGATTTGGTGTTTATTGATTTTTAGGTTTTCATATTTAAGTGAGTTGAATTACCCTAGATCACTATTCCTATGGAAGGGGAAGGTTCTTACTCCAGGACTCCCTCCTCTGTTGCTACTGAATTGAATGGCTTCTTCAAAATACAGTGCTTCTGCAAAGCCATGCGTTCTCTGGTTCTGTGAATCTCATTTGGTTTGAAGGGGTCTATCTCAAGCTTTGAGCCCCCCCAATTTCTCATTGGCCATTGTCCCCACTTCTCACAGTATTCTTTCACTTTTAGAAAACAGGACTGCCTGACATATACTACCTCTGGACCTTCTAGGCACTTTCTAACTGTTAGTTCACTGATACGTCTAGTGGCTGCTGCTCTGGATGCAATCTTGGCCATGTTCCTGTTATTTCCCACTATGATGTACTATGGCTAGGATCCCTCTGCATTCCTAGTTCTTCTCCATTATCCTACTATGAGTATCAACAGAAGTTCTAGGTAGTTCAGTTGTTTTTGGCTAAACTTACACAAAATTAGGAGTTATAAGTTTTCTCTGGTTTCTGGTTTTGTTGAATATATGGCTTGTATGTGTATGTGTAGTGTATTTCTAAATCTTTTTGTTTGATTTTCATTGTTCCTGAAAAAAACCATACATAGTGATTCATGGAAAGCTTGAGAACTAAGCTACCACAATGTTCTTAAGAAATTTAAAAGTCTCTGAATTTTTTTTGATATATTAAAACTCAAAACGGCAACACATCTTTTAAACTTGTCTTCATGCCTCTAGCTTTCTCATATATTCTTATCAAATCTGAATATTAAGAGTTAAATACTAAAGTATCATGAGCACTACAAGCCTAACTTCTAACTTATAGCTTTTGTTGCATGAACTATAATACCAAATGGAGGCGTATACAGAGTGCATTGCTTGCTCAGTATCACAGAGCTAGTTGTTGGCCAAGTGAGGACTAAAATCTCATTTCTTCACCCCTAGTATTCTGCTGTACATCTAATCAGTTGAAAGCCAAGTATTATTTAACAACACCCAGCTTCCAAGACACATTCTATTTTATCAACCTCAAAAGAAACAAAGCCCACACAAGAACTCTCTATGTGCTGCAATCAGACTATTCCTAAGCTATTCTTTTTTCAACTTGTAAAAAATAAATAATTAATTAATTTTAAAAAAAGACATCAGTGTCTTTGTAAAAGAAATGTGCAACCATGTGGGAACAAGAGAATAAATTGTTCCCTAACAACGTGATCTGCTGTAGTGGGAAACTGCCAGGGGAGGGAGGGGCACACCTCCTCAACAAGGGTACCTGCATGATAAACATTTATATACCTAACCCTGAATTGTACCCCACATCTTTAAAATAAAAAATTTAAAAGTTAAAAACAAAAAACAAGCCGGGCTTGGTGGCTCAGCCTGTAATCCCGCGCTTTGGGAGGCTGAGGTTGAGTGGATTGCCTGAGCCCGCGGGTTCAAGACCCGCCTGGGCAACTTGGCAAGCCCTCATCTCTACAATAAATCCAAAAATTAGCCGGGCGTGGTAGTGTGCGCCTGTAGTTCCAGCTACTTGGAAGGCTGAGGCGGAAGGATCACCAGAGCCCAGCAGTCGAGGCTGCGGTGGCCGTGAGCGTGCCACTGCACTCCAGTCTGGGCGACAGAGGGGGCCTCCAACTCAAAACAAAACAAAACAAAAAACAATGTGATCTGTTGATGTTTTTAGAAGCTCAGAACCAGCCTACCTTTTCTTGGCATGCTTATTCTCACAAGAACAACACTGAGCATGTCAGCAGGGATGTGTGTAGCTCTGTGGTGCTCAGTCGTATATACCCAACAGAAGTTTCAAATTCAATCTGGGGAGTACCTTGAAGACTAATGCTTTTGATTTTCTACCTAGTATTTACTTGTAGGCATAACTTATTCCTCTTTTTCCTTACCATTAACAATTATATGTTAATATAAATATGGCAAGAGGATAGTTTTAAAGCAATGAACTAACAAAAGTCTATAAAGACACAATAACTAGACATTTGGGTTGTAACTCCTTGAAAAGATTTTAGACATGAACTAAATTCTGTCATAATTCCAGTACCACCTCCCATTTCCCAAGTACTGCATAACACTATGTTTAATACAGAGTTACAGATCTTCCAAAAGTCTTTTTCTCCTTAATATTCCAAAAAACATTCTGGACACAGGTTGAGCCCAGTAAAACTGCCTACAGAATTCACCTGCCTATACTGTTTTCTTTGACCTACACTGAACTGATATGGAGTAAATATTCATAGGCAGATAAGTATGATGATGACACTAATGGGGATTATGATGAGAGAGATGTTGATACTAAAATGGCTCACAATAGGCTATGTGCAATCTTTTTGTTCACAACACCATTATATGACTTCTACTGGTGCTGAGTTCAAACCTAATCTAGTATGACAAATTCCTACGTAGGTTTATAATGATTGTGTAATTATAGACAAAACTAAGTATACTTCACTCTAATTGGAAAAAAAGCTCTAGTTTACAAACTCTCAAGTTCATTATAAAGCAATTTTAAATTTATTCCAGAAATGTCTAATAAAAAATATTAAAAGGGTAGATTGTTACTGTTATGCTTTTTGTATATCTACCATAAAACTAAATTTATTTTTCCTAATATTGCTCCATCTACTCTCTGTACTTAAGTTTTTAACAAATCAACAATTATATTCTAAAACCTTCGTATTTTTATCCTGTAGCAAACAGGAGAAAAAAAATTTAAAGAGTAACTTTATACTGAAATTATAATTATTTTTATTATCCGTCCTAGGTATTTGCAGTGGAAATTACTATTAGACAACTCAGTATACATCTAAAATAAACTCTAAGAGCAAGAATTACTGCATACAAATTAATTCTACCATATATCAACTGTGCATCAAACCTGATGATCAAAGACCAATTTTGGCCCTCCATCAGCAGCAGTATCCTCACTTAGTAACATCCATGTGTTTGTGTCAATGTCATAACGATAGAAGTCACTTTTCAGAGATTTGCTGTTCCTCACAGAGGAATCCAAATAACGCCCCAGTGTGTAGATTTGCCTCCGCTGAATGTCAATGCACATTTTATGACATGATCTGGCACTAGGACCATTCTGCAGAAAGGGGAAAAAAAGAAAGAAAAAGGAAAAAAAATTCAAAGAACAAATAACAGAAAATAAAATTAAATACAATTCAAAAATTATGTTTTATTAAAAAGTTTCTCAGAAACTCTTATTAAGTCAACTAATGTGTGTCCAACACTAAGCTCAAATTTCTAAAGGACATCAAAAGCACCAATAAACAGCAAGAGACACAAATCTTACCTCCAAAATGCTTGCAATCTACCAGGAAAGGATGACATGAACCCATGGCACTCTGTTTCATACGCTGCATTGCATTTTAGTCATCTACGCAGAGTTCAATTCCCTAGTACATGTCGATCTACTTTAAAACATGCTTGGTCTCAAAAAAACATTTTTGTATTTCTCATCAAAATCGAGCACAAAAGAGGTACTCCCAGAATATTTAGAAACACTGAATTTCAAAACTGGAAGAAATATCACAAATCTCTAGTGAATTTTCTCCTTTTAAAGATGAGAGAATATTAACCCAGAGAAGAAAGGTATCACTCCGAAAGCCAGTAAGCTACTGGTAGAAGCAGAATGAGACTCTGGTCTTTGATTTCTTCATTCATCTTCATAAAATTAACTTCCTGACTGAATAGCACAACTATGCCAAGTAAATAGGGACACTGTTAAGAACAGTGTATTATCAACAAATCTATTACTTGGGATCATGTGCATCACTGGACCAAATGAAAGAAAGAAAATGAATTGTAGTAGCCCTAAAGAGTTCATGAAGGGAAAAAAGAACTTCAGTGGGAGAGTTTGATTAGAGGAAAAGGAGAAAGGGGAACTAATGTTTGTTACACAGTTCCCAAGTTCTGTCTGTATTAAGATTACTGTATGTGACTATGTGAGTGTGTGTGTGTGTGTGTGTGTTTCATTTAATCCTTGTAACAACCCTATGAGGAAATACTATCATCATTTTACAGAGTCTAAGCAATTTGTCCACCATCACAAAACTAAGAGGATAACAAACCTATGCCCTTGTGTAACTAGAGCCCAAAACTGCTCTCTTCATGATTCCAGATCATTCTTCCCAGAAGAGAAACACACACTTGTTAATACAGTATGCTGCTTATGGCTGAGAAAAGAGTTCTTGCTGCAGAAATAACAGAACTGAAGTAATAGAGATGGGAAACCTGGTGAATGACAAAAAAGACATGAAGAACTGTAAGCTATGAAGAACTATCACAGGTTTCTGGAGCAAGATGTAACACAAACAAGCAGTATTATAAGAAGAGTAACCTAGCAGTAGTAATGAGATTAAATGAAAACATTTTAGGCAGGAAGAACAGGTTGCCAATGAGTTTTATTAATCCAGATGCTAAGTTGATTTGAATGTACACTTTACTATTCAGAGTAATTGTTACTTAGTTTTTAAAGATTGTTGTCAAATAATATGTTCAGCAGATAAGGTGAAAAAATTTTTAAGAAAGGATTTTTCTATAATTAAATAACTTCACAAATAAAGATGAACTAACATATAATAGATCTATACCATAATACCTAGAGTGTAAAATTTGAAATTTTAATATGAGAAAAATAGAACTTCTTGCTTCAGTTAAATTAGCACAAGTGCTATTAAAATAATTAGCAAGGCTGGGTGTGGTTGCTCACTGCTATAATCTCAGCACTTTGGGAAGCCAAAGTGAGAGGACTGCCTGAGCCCACGGGTTCAAGACTAGCCTGGGCAATTTGGCAAGACCACATCTCTACAGTAAATAAATAAAAAATTAGCCAGGCATGGTGGTGCATGCCTGTGGTTCCTGCGACTTGGAAGGTTGAGGCAGAAGGATTGCCTGAGCCCAGCAGGTCGAGGCTGCGGTAGCCGTGAGTGTTCCACTGCCCTCAAGCCTGGGGGACAGAGTGAGACTCCAACTCAAAATAGGTAGGTAGGCAGACAGACGACAAATTGAAAATTAAAAATGAGCAAATTATACCTTCAGCAAAGAAAGGAAATAGAACATAGATCAACAGACTCAAAAAAAACTTTTAAAAATAGAGAAAGTTAACAAAGTTGTTTCTTTGAAAGATTGATAGAGTTATACATCACTACCAAGACTAGTCTTTTACAAAGGGAGAGAAAATAAAAATTGCCAATATCAGGAATGAAAGCAGGATTATCACTACAGACTCTCTAAAAATTACAAAGAAAATAACAGACTATTATGAAAGACATAGGTAAAACCTGACAATATAGATAAAATAGACATATTTCTTGAAAAAGTATAATTTATCAAGATGACATGTGACAAAAGAGAAAACTGTGACGTTATTATATCTCTTAAAAACTGATTTCATAGGGCCAGGCGTGGTAGCTCATGTCTATAATCCCAGTACTTTGGGAGGCAGAGGCAAGAAGATTGCCTGAGTCCAGGGGTTTAAGACCAGTCTGGGCAACTTGGTGAGATCTTGTCTACAGTAAATCAAGAAAAACTAGCTGGGTGTGGTGGCACATGCTTGTAGTTCCAGCTACTTGGAAGGCTGAGGTGTAAGAATCACCTGAGCCCAGCAGGTTGAGGTTGCAGTGGTTGTGAGTGTACCATTCCAGCCTGGGCAACAGAGTAAGACTTGCCCCCCAAAAAAGAAAAGAAAAACTGATTTCATAATTGCCCCAATATCTACACTGGTAAGGTATATCAAGCACTTAAGGAAAAAATAGTATCAAGTTTAGAGAAAATTTTTCAGAAAATTGAGGAGGAAGAAAATTCTACTTTTTACATGCATTCTCTTCCACTCCTGCCTTATTTCATAAGGATGACATGACAGTGAAACCAAATAACAGCAGCATCCCAGGGAGGAGGCAGAGCAGGAGGAGAAGGGGAGAAGGGAAGACCAGGAGGAGGCTCCCTCCCAGAGCAAGGGCCCCTCGTGATCAAACACACAAATTCACCTTCACAAAAGAATGGCAAATAGAAGTGGCAACATGGGAACAAAAACTTCATAACTAAAAGGAGCTAATCTCAGGAATACAAAGTTGATTCGACATCTGAAAATCAATCAGGATAATTTGCCACATTAACAGCATAAAAAAGGAAAAACATTATTACATTAACACACATATAGAAAAGGATGTGATAAAATTCAACACATATTCACGATTAAAAACTCACAGCAAAATAGAAATAGAAAGAACTGTTTAAATCTGATAAAGGATGTAAGAAAATGTTAAATCTCATTTTTCTTAATGGTGACATACTAAATGCTCTCCTAATAAGCTCTGAAATAAGACGAGGATGCCTTCTCTCACCACTTCTATCTAACATTGCTCTGGAAGTCCAAGTCAATGCAATAAGGAAGCCTTAAAAAATAAAACGAGAAGTTATGATGAAAAAAGAACAGAAAGGAAGAACTAAAACGACTGTTTAAAACATCCTAAGAAATAAAAAAAGAAACTACTAGAGATAATAAGTGGCTGGTGCAGGGGCTCATGGCTGTAATCCCAGCACTGTGGGAGATGGATGCAAGAGGACTTCTTAAGTCTAGGAGTTTGAGAACAGCCTGGGAAACTTGGAGAGACCGCGTCTCTACAATAAATCAAAAAATTAGCCAGGCATGGTGGCACTCACCTGTAGTTCCAGCTACTCTGAATGCTGAGGCAGAAGGATCACCTCTGCAGTGGCTGTGAGTGTGCCACTGCACTCCAGTTTGGGTGACAGTGAGACTCTGACTCAAAAAAATTAAAAAATAAATAATAAGTGGACTCAGTAAGAGACATGACATGAAGACAGTATTTACAAACCAGTTGTACTCCTCTAAATTACCAGCCAACAAGGAAAATAAATTTAAATTCCATTATAATAGCCCAAACACAAAATATACTGACATCAGTTTAATTAAAATATCCAAGACCTCTAACCAAAACTCTTAAAGAGTACTGACAGATAATGAAGACTAAAATAAATGGAGATTAAACCAAATTCATGGATTAGAAGACACATTATCATTAAAATATCAATTCTTGCCAAATTGAATTATAGGTCATCACATTTGCATCATAATCCCAACAGTTTGAAAAACTGATGAGAGGATTCTAAAATTTACATTAAAATGTAGCTGGGCATTGTGACTCATGCCTGGCAGTTTGGGAGGCCCAGGCAGGAGGATCACTCGAAAGCCTGGGCAACAGCAAGACCTCATCTCTATAAAAAAATCAAAAAATCAAGAAAAAAAATCAAAAAAATTTACCAGGTGGCACGTGCCTGTAGTCCCAGCTACTCGGGAGGCTTGAAGACCAGGCGTTCAAGGCTGTAGTGAGCTGTAATCATGCCACAGCCTTCAATATAGATGACAGAGTGAGACCTCAACTTAAAAAAATAAAATAAAATTTATATAAAGCTGCAAAAGACCTAGAAAAGCCAAAACAATTCTGAAAAAGAACAACAAAGAGGTCTTCCATTACCTGGCCTCATGAATTAGTATAAAGCTACAGTAATCCAAGTGTTCTGTTGGCTAGAAGAAACCAAAATACAATGGAACAAAACCGAGAGTCCAAAAAGAGACATATATGATCAACTAGTTTTTGACCAAGGTGCCAAAGAAGCTAATCAGTGGGGCAAGAAAACAGGAAACAACCAGAAGCTTCATGCACTGCTGTCGGACATATAAAACGGCACAACCATGCTGGGAAAAACTTTAACAGTTTCATTTATTGAATGATAGGGTGAAGTCTGATGAGTGAATGGACACTTTCACAATCTTAAAATGTCTCCTTCAAAATACTTATTAATTATAAAGCACATAATCTTGAGAGCACCTTCTTGTCCAAGTGATCAAAGCTTATATCAGATAAACTGACATTTGTGTCTGCTAATATGAAATACTGAGGAGATGCCAATGTCTTCCATGGGTTATTCCTGCTAAAAACATATAACCTAAATCCAACCGTAAAGAAACATCAGACAAACCTGATTGAGGGATATTCTACAAAATAACCGCCTTACACTTTTCAAAAGTGTCAAAGTCAAGAAACACAAAGTTTAGAGAACTATTCCAGACTAAGCAAGACTAAAGAAGCATGACATCAAAATACAATCCATGGGCACTGACGACTCTCTCCCCTCTCTTCCTCTCCTCTCTTCCTCCCCACCCTCCTCGCCCTCTATCATGAATGCAAACCCTTGGATTTAGTCAAGGATGGAGGTTTGGGGAGAGAAAATGGGATGCCTACAAAAGACATTACTGGGCATAATTGTCAATATCTGAACAGGAACTGTCGGTGAGATTAAAACAGCAGTTATCAATGTAGTCTGGGATCTCAGGGCACTTCAGGGAGTCTAAGGTCAAAGCTATTTTTACAATAATATGAACATTAAATTTGTCTTTTTATTCTCATTCTGAGTATGTGTGAAATTTGCTAGAGGCTACATGACTTTATGATACAGCAACTGAAGCAGAAATGAATCCAGAGGGCTTCTATTAAGCTAAACAGCAAAGAGATTTTGAAAACTAAAAAATAATGCCACTCGGCAGTGGGATAGTTGTCTCAAGGAAGACACTGATGTAACTGTTTGAATTGTGAGTGATGTAGTTGCTTTTTCCACAGGACACTATACTTAAAAGAACAACTCGTGATCACAGTATGGTTACTCAGACATGATGGGTGCCATTTTCTCAAAAAATGAGAAAAAAGCAGCAAATCACTTTGAAGAACAACTTACAAAATTTGTTGCCAATGATATAATGCATGTTGTAAAAACAATATTTTCAAAATATTTTTTGAAAACTTCTATGATATAGAAGCATTCCAAGTACTTAAAAGGCGTTTCTAATGAGACACAGTGTTTTTAACAAATGTAGCTTTCTGATACTGTATTTGAAATAGGTCAATATCTGGAAAATGTATATAACTCAAGGAGCCAATCTTTTTCAAGTGACCAACACAAGGATTTTTAAAAAACATGCATGGGTAAAAGATCTATATTCACTGAGCAAAACAGATCAATGGATTTTAACAGAACAGAATACAAAAAGCTGATATGGCTTCAGAGTCTATACTTAAACTACCTTTAAGAAACAACCACGTGTCATTCTGGATAAGGGATCAAAAAAGAACATATGCAATTATCTGGAAAGGCTGTTAACATACTACTTTCCTTCCAAAGACAACTATATGAGGTCGATATATAAACTTTCTTCACAAAACGTGTCACAAGAGAGTAATTGCACAAGCATAAATAAGAATTGAGCTGTTTTTCATCTAAACAAGACATTAAAGAGATGTACATAAATGCAAAAACAATGCTACTCCTCTTACTAAAATTTTTAGAAAGTTATTTTTAATAAAATGTTTTCATGTCAACATGTAATAGATGTATTTATTATTGTTATTTAAAATTAGCTGATAAAAATATTTTAAAAGTCTTAGCTTTAATTTCCAATAGTCTTTCAGTATATATAACCCAAATAAACTAAGAACACTAGTGGGTTTTTGTTTAAAAGTATAAAGGGATCCTGAGACCATAAAGTTTCAGAAGTACCATCATAAGTAAAATCCAGCAAGAGAAATGTCTAATTCTTTTCTACTTTATAATTCCATGAAGTCAGAAATACGAGAGAAAAAAGGGACACATTTTTTTTTAAAGTAAAGGACATTTTCCTACCCTCCCTTTATGAAAAACTGTCCTCCAAACTTTACCAAGATATCTTTTGCTGTAAATTTCATTTTCATTAGTAATCATAGTGTATAGTCACATCATAAAATACTGGATTTTTATAGTCTTAAAAAAGGAACACAGGAATTGGATTGAGACAATAACAGTTGTCTTTTTCACTGGCCACTTTAAAAGACAACACATTTCTTTCAAACCTATAAAAACTTACTTGCATATCTACATGAACATTTAAAATAATTGTTATTCTTCTTTCAATCTTCAGAATGTGTTATCAGATACTTAAGTAAACTGAAGTAAATTAAATTAATTTTCCTTTTTAATTGTATAGTACGCTTTTAAAAGACGTGCTCTGGGGTATCATCAAACAATAATTTGTATTCACTGGGACAGAAAATAAAATTAGATATACAAAATACTAACTGTTCAATTTTGGAAGGAATAAGCATTTATGCTAGAGCCATATATGATCATTCAATTCACAGGTAGATCAACAAAAGCTTTTAAAGTGTCTATGTGAAGGAAGTAATAATAATCTGTAATAAATCTGAGCTCCAAGGGTGAGCTACCACTTGACTTATCTCTACTGACTTCAAAGAAACAGAAACAAAGTATTCTCATAAAAATAATCTCTGTATTTTTCCAGCACCAGTTTTAAAATAATTACTAATTGCACTCTAAATATTACTTACAATATATGTATATGGTATAAAAAAAGAATAGAATAAACAGCTATCTACCTGTACCCAGCTTCAGAAGCAGAACATTATCTTTTGAATTCCCCTTTAAATCCTCTGCCCACTCCTGAATTTTGTATTTTTCATTCTCTTTCTTTTTTACAGCATTAACTTTTTTTTATTGAGTTGGAGTCTCACTCTGCTGCCCAGGCTGGAGTACAGTGGCAAGCTCGCTACCACAGCCTCCACCTGCTGGGCTCAGGCAATCCTTCCACCTCAGCCTTCCAAGTAGCTGAAACTACAGACGTGTGCCACCACTCTGGCTAATGTTTTGATTTATTTACTAGGTATTTACTAGGTAAAAGGCAGGGAATCCCAAGCAGAGAAAACAAGATTGCCAAAGGACACAGGTCAATTGAGTAACTCCAGCATAGCTGGCACACAGTCAGGAGACAAGGCTGGAAAAGTACTGGTGCGAAATCGTGAGTTTTTATTTTAAGCAAAAGGAAAGAGATAAGTACATTGTTTTACTGTTACTGCTGTTATTATTCACGATTTCCTGTATCAATGTCTCTTTAGCAGCACCCTCCACCAGTTGACTCTGGACTTGTTTACATGACTTCTCTTTGCCGGATTGCTCATGTCTACTTCATCTCAGCATGCCCCTACCTTCCGAACAAGCCTCAGCTAGCCTATGTAGAACAGAGCAAGTAGTTCCAGCTGAAGCCATCCGAAACCCAGACAGCTGATGCTTAGACAAATGAACAGGCCCACCAACCTGTAGAACCCTGAGCAAATAAAAGCTTATTACTATATGCCACTGAAGTTCTATGCTTGCAATTTAACAGAATGTAAAAGATAACTGAAACGGGGGCTGGAGCTAACCACAGGGTTTAAGCAGAGGTATCACATGACTGACCAAACATGTTTTTAAAGACTATGTGCATGAATGGAGAATAGGCCTGGGGATCAATAATGGAGATAAAAAAGTTAAGAAACCATAAAGTTGAAATTACCACCAAAGAAGAAGAAAGAAGAAAAGATACCTGAAATGCAACACTGGAGGCTAGAACTGTTGGATCTTAGGCACTAGTTAGATACATTCAACAAAGAAGGGGGAGCACTTTAGGATGAATCCTAGGCTTACTGCAAGAATAATTACAGATATAATTAATCTAGATTTAAGATAGTTTGGTAGAGAAAGTTGTTTTTTTAAGATATGTTCTTATTTTCAGAAAATAGTACTTCAAGACTGAAAAGCGAAGGCCATTTTTACATACATTTTTACAAGGGTAAGAAAAAGAAATCAGAATTTCAAGATTTCTTGGAAAAACAAAAATTACCCAAATGATTAATCCCTGGAACACAGTTCCACAGTAAGCAAGAACTCCCAGAATTAAAGAAACAGCAGCAGATCTTTTAAAACAGTCTTCTGAGATCAACATCTCAGGTTCTCAATTAGGCCTCTTGTTCTCCCTTTTCATTTGCGGCTCCTACTGTCTTGTTATAGTTTATTTCTCACTTCTTAATCTGAAACAGCTTAAATGAAGAGTGCAGTTTAAAAGTTCTACAAAGATTTGAAAAAAATGAATGAATTAATATTTGCTTTACCCAGTGTATAAACATGCATTTGTTTTCATCAAAGCTATAAATCCAAGCCACCCTATTCTCTATGGAAATGCCTTATGCACATATGGAGACAGACACATGCATGCATACATGTATACGATTTCAAATTAAATGATATAAAAACAGCCATTTCTGTCTCTCTCTATAAAACAGGTATGTTTGTGTACCAGTGGTTGAAGAGGCAGGTGTGGAAGCTGAAAATCAAGAGCGCTGAGGCCTGTTTACCACAGACCCTTTTGCCGCGTGGGCTGACAGACATTAGGGAAGAACAAGATCCCACGGGCAGTGCGCCCAGACCCCATGGCCATGCAGATCCCGCAGGAACTTCACCCACACCCCACGGTGGCACAGATCCCACAGGCAGCACACCCACACCCCACGGCGGCACAGAGGCGGGCAGCATGGGGAACTTGCCTCCTTCTCAGTGTCTCTGGAGACGCATGCCCACTGGTTCTCCTTCACACTGTACGCCCAGAAGTCGGCAAGGTCTTGTGTTCCATCCCAGCCACCAAACAAATACACGGTCTCTATGGAAATCAGAAAAATACGTGTGAAAAATAAACTCAAAGGCAAAACAAGCACAAGTACCCAGACCTAGCCAACTGCTTCACGGTCATTCAAGAAAGTACACCCAAATAAATTTTTAAATAAGATTTTTAGACTGGAAACGTTCCAAAATATATACTAGACTAGTATTCCCTAAATAGGATTCTATGAAAAGCCTGATGCAAAATCACTATTTTGAGAGACTTATAAAAATACAAATAACTAGGGAATGTGCCCCCAATTTCCGATTTTATAGGTCTTCAGTGGGTAAAAAAGAGTCTGTATTTTTATCCAGAAGAATCGGTATGTCACGAGCTTAGGCATTTCTGTGTCAGGCCATGAAGAATTTCCATCTCCAAACTTCTTAACAACACAGATATTTTCCATCCACCAAAGACCTATGGATTTTTTTTACTCAAATTGTAAAAAATAAAAACCCAGAGGAAAATACAGTAAAAGAGAATAACATAAGGACATCCAGCGGTAGTTTTTAAAAAGTTGCATTAAAGGTGGTCTATCTGTATTACAATATCAAAAATAATAGCTAAAACTAGCTTTAAAATTAGATATCTTAGGAATAAAGCAATACAAAGCTTTGATATTCCCATGAAAACTAGGGGAAATTTTCCAAAACATATTGTGGTATGTTTAATTCCTCAGAAATTAACTTTTAAGTCATTCTAGGAATCTTGAGATGTTGGTTTCTTCTAACTCCGAAATGTCTACTATATTCATGGACTTTTCATTGAGACAAAATTGATTTCTTGCTCAGTGAATAATAAATCTTATATATAACACTATATCACAGATCCTTATTTATAAAATTATAGTGTCTTTTCTTTCTTCAAATATTTTCCCCCTTTGTAACTGTCTTATATCTACTGGTTACAAAAGCCCACCCATTAGTATATTTTAAAGTTAAGTAAAATACACAGGAAAATGGTAAAGCTATGTATTCTCTGACATGCTCTAGGCCTGTATGTATGGTGGCTGTCATCTATGTTCTACCATGAAGGGCTACAATTCAAAGTGCACTTGGAAATACTGGACCACTATTTAAGAAACTCTTTTGCCTTTTGGGCTGTCTTCTACAAGAATTTTGTCATTTTTCATATAATTTCAAACTCTAAGTGAATTTTCTAAGTGGAATGTCTATGCTATCCCTCAATAGGTTGGAAAAAATCACAGTAACGCTTCACTGCTCTCTGGATGAGAACAGCCCACCGGAGCAGGACTGAGTTTTAAGAGCTAACCGGTGGACCAGTACAAGTCTTGGTTTTTTTCATCTGCAAATCTCTCAGCATTGTGACGTTCTTCAGATGTAAGTTACATAAAAATAGTCTGAAGGCTGTCAAACAAGAACAGCAATTCTACCTTGAAAACATGCATAAAAAATAAAAAATACTTTATTTTTTATTATCAAGTGCCACAGATACAATAAAAAAGAGGTATTGTATCTGATTACATGTCTGTCTAATTCAGTACCTAGAACACTTTTGGCACTGAGTAAATGTGGAATAATGGCGATTATTTTAAACTACTAAAAAACTGCCCTGTCTTCGAACTACAAAGCAATCCATTATTATTAGTTAAATAACATTCTGTTTCTAAAATGGCACACTAAGTAGTGCTCAAGCACATAATTTTACAGGGGAAAAAAAAAAGAATTTTCATCTGGCTTAAAAATTATTTGCCAAGTCTTTTATAAAGGCAATTAACCCTGTTAAATTCTGAAGCCTGGAAGGAGGAGGTATATAACTGAAACAGCGACAGCAGTTGACCTTTTTCTTTATGGTGTTCCTGGGCCCCCTCTGGATAAGGCCACCCTGGTTCATTAACTTTAATAACCCTTCCTCTTGGGCTCTGGGCTCTCAGTGTTCTTTCTGAAAAGCAGGTCTCTTTGTACGCATAAATTCTCACAGCAAAGAAAACCCACATTTTCACAACTGCCTCATTGATAGCTGAGCAAAATAAAATCTGGCACAGAGTAAGCATCCCAATGGAATTAAGCCAAGATGTCATTCCTATCCATGAAAGTTTTGCAGTCCCAGTTGAAGTTTAACAGTAAAATTAAATGAATCAAATGGAAACGGAGCCTCTGATATATCTGAATGAAAACAACAAAATCTTAAATTAAATCATGTAACCATACAAGCTATTCAAAGATGATTTATTATCTAGAAACAAACACCATAAAAATGTTATTTAATACATAAAGAATATCAAAGACTTTTATAATTATAGAAATAATTGGACAGAAAAGGAAATAGAAAAGCGAAAGAAGGAGGAAGCATTAGATTTGCAGCAGGGTAGTGGACTGGCTAGCTGGAAGGCCATCCTCATGCTTTCAGGGTCTATAGTAATGCATGCACATCCAGGCTAGAACTCATCTCCTTAAGGAGAAAGAAACCCTTTCCCTTTTGTCCTAATGGAATAGGCTATGGTGGCCATCCATTTGTACCAGCACTTGGAGGAATGTTTATTCAATGTTTCTTGAGTACTAGTCTGAATTTGCAAAGCACTTTAGAGAATAAAAGGAAAACAGATATAGTCCCTATTCTCAGGGAGCTTACAAAATCTAGTCAAACGTATAAAACTGGTCAAGTGTCATAAGAAAGGTTGAAGGCACCATGAGGGTTCACAAGAGGGAGGAGAATGTATCTGGTTGAGGGGACTCAGGAAAAGTTTTGTGGTGACAGTGGCATTTGACCTATGTATCAGAAGGTAGGCAGAACAGGGGACAGAAAAGAGGACCATTCAAGTCGAGTGGTGACAAAAGCACAGAGACAAAAAGAAAACAAGAAAAAAAACACATGCAAAGTGTTATAAACATATGCTCTAAAGTCAGGCAGATCTTGGCCACAATGCTGGCTCTATCCTCACCACTGTGTGACCACTACCAAACTCCTTAGCTGTTGGTTTCCTAGTCTATAAGATGTGATAGCATAAAGCTGTGAGAATTAAATGTACAATGGTTAGATTGTGTGATGAATAAATGTACTGCTTGATTTCAACAAACACATAGGCAGCAGGTGGAGATGAGGCTAAAAAGACAGGCAGGTCACTTCTGTGATTGCAGTGCTCTGGGAGGCTCAGGTGGAGGAACTGCTTGAGCCCAGATGTTTGAGGCTACAGAGAGCTATGATCTCATCGCTGCACTCCACCTCAGGCAACACAGCAAAACCCTGTCTCTAAAATAAACAAACAAACAAATAAATAAAATGCAAAAGACAGGTAGTGATCAGATCATGGAAGGGATAAAATGCAAGATGAAGACTTTGAACTTGACTCCACAGACAGTGGAGAAGCTACAGAAGACTTCAGCAGTGGTGTGACAAGGTGACGCCTGGCCCTGCAGCACACAGGTCTGACAGAAAGGAGAAGCCAGGAATGAGTGGTACTGGAGTAAAGTGGCCAAATAGCCCATGTTCAAAATGTCAAGTGGATTTCATTCTAAAACACCAAGTCAATCAATTGCCATCAATCTATCATTACTTATGCCACAAAAACTAAAATTCAAGCATATTTTTGGTACAGAATATGTACCACATTGGTCCCAGCACCAAATACACCCCAGAGCTAATTACTATCAGTAGTAGCAACCTACATAGCTTTCACGCACAAAAAATAAGGTACAAATGTTAAGACAGGTAAGACAGTCGCGTCTTTACCCCATTTCACACAAAGAAGGAAGGGCCTGACTGCAGCGTCTATCATTCTACTCTGATTTTTAGGGACAAATCGGACTGTGCTGACTGCATAAGCCTCCACAAGATGGCACACTATTTCCATAATTAAGGCAGGATTTCCACCTTGAGACTGTCAAGAATGTATAGGCTTTGCACTTGCATGGCCTTGGCCCAAAACTTAGACAAAATGCACACACTGAAAAGAGAAAGAGGAAAGTTAGCCTATTTCTTAGTTTAGACACAAGAAAAAAACAAAATGAAAACAAACATTTTAAGAAACACAGACGTATCTTCAAGATAAAAATGAAACCCTTACAAGATATTCAGATTAAGAGTTTGAATCCTTCTGAAAGTACAGGTTAGTAAGACCTTAAATTGACAAACTGACACAATTTTTGAAGAGAGGAATAAACTATAAAGGGAAAGATGTTTTACATGTTCTTTACTCTTTTCTTAAGCCAGTCCCTTGAACTATCATGACCCAGCAGATTATAAAACAGATTCACCTGCCTTCCTTCTTAAACAGAGCTGCATTCTTACATAAAGGCATGATTACGGAGCTACCTAGGGCTTTTGGGTGAATTCAAAATACATGTTACAGAGTAAAATGTGTTACTTTCTCTGCCAAAAAAATGAAAGCACAGAATTTTATGCCTTTGACAATATGCTTTATATTCTTAATTAAGTCTGCATTTCAAAAGTTCTTGCTGATAATTGTATAAAAGAAAAAGATGCATGTTACATTCAGAAATATAGTTATATGAATATGTATAATTACAATCAAATCCCATGTTTACTCACTTCAAAAGTTTCTTTAAGGAGTATCAAGGAAAACTGTATGCATCACATGGAAAAAAATGAAAGCACTTTCATGTAAAAGCTTCCAAGTGACAAGCAACTCTTCATCAACTTGTCTCATTTACCAAATATTGGAGCTTTGCCTGAGTCTTGGTATCCATTCTGACTGGGACGGGGGAAAGGCTTTTACTGTATGTGCTCAAAAAGTAATGAGCTACATAACAAAGAGTAGCCTAATACAACAAACATTTATTTTCTAACTGAACAGACTTCCACGCAGAAATAAAATAGACATGCCTTTTCTCTTTCTATTCATCTTATTTCACCCAGAGCTGAAACCCAACTCACACTTGAAGAATCTGGAGTAGAAAGGTGCCATGCCGGGTACAGAGGTTTCAATTGATAAAGTCGACATGCAAACCAGATGCTGGGGTTAACTTAGGACGGAAGAAATGGCAAAATGTACGCCATCACACACCTTTTATAATGGTCAC